GTTCCAATTAGATGTTGTGGAAAGCACAAAGTCTGTGACTCAGCTGTTTGCGTGGCGCGTTATAAAAGAATGGCAGCAGAGCAGCAGCAAACAGCGCCGTTAAAAATGCATGAGGTGCTACCCAGTGCTGCTCTCGCTGTGTCGAATAGAGCTATCACGGCTGCCTGTTATCTCCAGAACCCCCAGGTAGAAATGGTAATGATACTACTTAACACTGCTGCACATATGGAGGGAAAATGGAAATGCCAACAGCACCTCAACTATAAAGAAAATCAAATTGAAATATTAATCCGCTGATTAATATAACATTATGAGAGCCCATTCTCTTTGTTGTTTAACAACAAAGGATTGCAAAATAAGCAACTGCCTGAGAGGTAAGGGGTTTAAAAGAGTCCCACTGAGGTGTTAGGATCCCTTTCAAACATCATTACCACACATAATGTATTCACTTCCACAGTGCTGAGGTTTTGATATTGATGTTTACCCATTTATTTTTTAATTAATGTTCTTTGTTAATGAATTCTTTGATGAGAGGCATTTTGTAAATCATTATCCTAAGAAGAAGATGAAGAAAAAAAAAAACGTTCTCGATTTTGCCCATTAAACTTGAAAGCGCAAGGTGTAAGGGGAAAAAGTTGAGCATTGAGTTGTGGGTCATTATTGAAAGTTTTTCTTATTAGGGTCATTAATTGTCGTGTCTATTCTGTGTGTATCTTCATGTTACTTTGGGATTTCAGCTGGGACGTTATACGGCCCATTGCAAACAACGTGTTTAATTAGACAAACGCAGAAGTTCAGCGCTGAAACTTCGGCGAAGTTTGAGGGCTCCTCTCATCGACGTTGATCATTTTAGGGTACTTCATAGAGCATATAGTCACAATGGAAGATGAAGATGCGAAGTCCTCTTCCTACAAACACTTGACTGACATATACAGTACATATCCATCACACTTGAACTTTTCTAAAAAAAATCAACAACAAAAAGTTGGCTCAATAATAAAGACAATTTTCTGCTGGCGTAGTCGGGCCAGTGGTTCAGATTTTTACTTGCTCATCTGACATTTATTTTTAAAGAGAGAGAGAGAGAGAATAGAGACATTTCTAAAAAGATATATATATATGTATATTTAAGTTGATATATTTTTGCATGCAATTTTTATAATTTTATATATTGTTTTATAAAAGTTTTTAAAAAAATCTTGAAAAAAAAAACATTTTCTTTGCCACAAAATTGAAATTATACAGCTGTAATACAACTCATATATTTATGAACTCACCTTTGGTTTGTATTTTTTAAACACAGGATAAATAATGGTTTCAAGACTATCAAGTCATTTTTACAATTTTAATGACCAATTAGCAGAATTTGCCAATTTTCACCATCACAGAAAGCCAAACATTTAAGCTTGCAAGATAAAAAATGGATGTACAAGAATGACTAGAAATGTTTTAGTGGCATCACAGCACTGGCCCAAAAAAGCAAGTGACTGATCCAAAATTTCGTGTTACTTTGTCAGTATCAATATCAGCTTATACTTTTCTAGCCAGTTTCGAAACTTCATTCTTATGTTACTGTCTCTTTAAGATGAATTGCTTGAGCTGTGGTATTCTTAAATGCTTTTTTAACTACAAACTTGTGAGAAAGTCACATTTCCTTATCTGAATGCATTTTGACACCATACTGTATACTTTAGTTTAAAAAAAGCTGTAAAAACTGAAAGTATGAAACCATTGCAATTGACTTCATCAGTTAATCTACATAACTGAAACCATTTGGGATTTGCCACTTAAATGGTACATTTAAAAACAACAAAATCTGCAATCTGGATAATGTCTGTGCCCTTTGAATTCATTCAGAGATGCTCCAGAAGAGTTTTCAGCTTCAAAACCACAAAAGTTCTGTAGGCAGCACTCAAGTTTCATAGTCAAAATATGGCCTTTTGCCATCCCCTATTCAGCTTTGGGTTTAGGAGAAAACATGCATTTTAGTCTTTGAGACAAAGGAACTGTATTTAAAATTTTTTTTTTGCTTCACCCCACGAATGACTGATTGTGTTTCCAGTACCCCACATACACCACAGTGCTATTTTTCTTTCTATCTTTCAAGCCAGTCTAAATGAAGCCAAACTATACAGCCTTAAAGGCACATTCATCACAGTGCGCCTGCAAGCTCAGTGCAGATGTAATGCAAGTAACTGATTGCTCTCTCTTTCTAAAAAAAAAAAAAAAAAAGAATCTCGACTAGAATTAGGGCTTTTCATCGGCAAATATATTTCACTTGTGATTAATTGCAACACTCAAATCCCGATCATTTTTACACAAGAGAGAACATTTCGGCTTTGTAAAATTGATATAAAGAAAATGCAAATCGTTGGTGTTCTTGGCACCAAACATATGCTGCCACGATGCCAACAAGCCTGCCCCTGACGATCCCAGCTGGAAGCTTGCAAGACGTACTTTTGGCAAAAGACTTTTTTTCCACCCCGTTTTGCAAATGATCGGCAATTAATATGCCAAGCATCCAGAGCTTATTCTGCACCTGTTTACATGCAAGTTTAAACTTTGTGAAATACATTACACCATATACTGAAGGTTCAAATGCCTTAGATTTGTGGCGATTTGTCCAAGTTGGCATTTCTAGCCAACTTGGAATGAAAATGTGTGTGTATATATATATATATATATATATATATTACGTTCAACTATAGATTATATGGAAAAATATATGGATTGTTCAAGTTGGGATTTAGAACAACACAACACAAATCTAAAGCAACTGAACCTTCAGTAATGGTACTGCATTTTACAAAGTGTGTGTGTATATATATATATATATATATATATATATATATATATGACATTTTTATTACTCCTATCTATCTATCTATCTATCTATCTATCTATCTATCTATCTATCTATCTATCTATCTAAAGTTCAAAATAATGCATATATTTTCCATATAATCCATAGTTGAACCTAATATATATATTTATTACATTACATATACATATACTGTATATGTCAGGTAAAAATAATAATGTTTTTGAATACATTTTCAGATTTTTATTTTTATTTTTTGCTTCCAACTTGATCCTCTTTTATGTCTAGTAGAATCTTGGGAACTTTCTTAATCAGGACCAGCAAAAATATAAGCATGAGCACCTGTGAGTAAGCATTGTAAAACTATTTACATATTCCCAGTCAGCCATTTTAGGAAGTTAAAACTGTGGTCAATGCAAATAAAAATTTGAGGGTAAAAGACAATATTCAAATGACACGCTTGCATTTGTACAACTGGAAATCGGCCAAATGTATTGTGTATTCCCAGCTCACGATTTAAAATCCAGCATTATTTCTCTCTGTCACCATAATATGTTTCTTTACATTTGAAATATGCACTTGTATAAACATGTAACATACATGAAATATTACAGTCACACTTATGAAGATGTTATGCTGTAAGATGCTGTAAGTGCTTAATGTAAGATTTGCAGGCTGAAATCTGCGCCTAGATGGGGGACGGAGTGGGCTGTATTAATCTTCCTCTCTCTCTTCTCTCACAGATCTTCCTCACTGCACAACTTATGATGGATAGGAGGCCTTAATGAGCTTCTTACAAGCAATTAAATAATCAGGGAGCCCTGCTGTTTGCCGATGAGGCTTTAGAGAGCGCTGACAAACGGTGGGCCATCAGCGCTCCAATCAACAGGACACGGCGCTCAGTGCTGTCACCAATGCTATTTTAAACAATGACTCTCTGCACTGCTGAGAAAACACTCATAGGAATTATGCTCACAGGAGTGGGAAAGTTTTGTACAGGCATTTACGTCAGTGTTTTGCAATTGTATCTATCTTGGCCGTACAGATGCACTGTAACAGTTTGATGCGGTTGGCAGATAGTGTTAGTATGTTATTGATTTTATCGTAGTTAAATGAATAGTTCACCCCAAAATGAAAATTATGTCATGAATTAATCACATACCTGTATGCTGTTATTTTATTCATGGCACACAATAATGGGAATTTTGAAGAATCTTCCTGCAGATCTGTTCCAACAACAGTTGGTAACAAATTATGAGATTTGAAAAGGGAAGATCGTCTGTGCGTAGCAACTTAAAATTCTGCCTGTTTCCAACACAAATCTATCATATGGACTACATTTATAGCTTTGTTATAGTGTTTTTGGTCATTTTTGGTCATTTTTGGAACTTGTCAGCAAGGTTACAACAAACTGCTAAATCTAAACGTGTTGTGCGAACAGTTAAATAAAAACAGTTGTTTAAATTAAAGAAAATAAATTAAATAAAAACATGGCAATAATAAATTAAATATTTTACATGGCAATAATATTTCTTAATATTACTGATTTTTACAGTATTTTGATCAAATGAATGCAGCCTTGGTATGCATTAGAGACTTCTTACAAAAAACATTAAAAAATCTTACTCAACCCAATATAGCCTATATGTATATAAGTATATGCAATATGAGTATATATGATATTTGTGAGTTTTCAGATCTATAACAATACGTTTTTTTAACCACAATTCTAAATGAGGCCGGATGTCTGCTTTCATTTTCCCATCAAATCTTTGTTTTATAGCACTGATTGGAGAACAACTTTCATAAACGTTAACATTCATGTAATTAGTTTAAAACTTCAGTTAGTTTTTTGTCGCACCAAATTTAGTATTGAAACCAATCACCTCTTGTTTTCCCAATTTACAAATCTGTTATTCATCTAAGTGAGTATACAGCTGACACATGCACCGACAGTCTTGGTGATAAAGTTCACTTCCAGCTTCAAAGATGGGTTATCACCTAGTTATGCCTCATAAAGTGCTGTAACATCTTCTTTATAATTAGCTATATTTGGTGCAAGTTGCAATAGTATAATTCCTGCTGTGACAGGAAGAAAAAAAACAGCAAGTGCATTTAATTACAAGTCGGCTCCGACATGCCAGTATGTGTATGGAGTTCTCAGCTTCTCTTTTCTCACCCGTAGGAGATGGAGACGGGGGCCGGGCACCCCTGGGCGCCACAACACCTCTGCCGCAGCGGTGACTTCCTCTTGTAGAACTGCACTTGTTCGCTCCTGTTGTAGGGTAAGATACTGGAGAATGCCACAGCGAGTGCATGCTGCAAAAAGTAAATATGTTGCCTATTAATAGGCTGGTGGACGGGTAGAACCCGGAGCAGAACCGCGAGGCGCTGGGGGGAGAGTGCCAGGAGTGCGATTCGCTCCGGAGTGTGTGTGTGTGTGTGTGTGTGTGAGAGAACACTGCTGAGGGAGCAGATTCTTAGCACAGCGCTGGCACAGGACACACTCACATATGCGTGCACTTAGCATACACACACGCATTGAGACACTGTAATCCATGTCTGCGCTTGTTGTAGCCTACTTGTTAGCTTAGCAGTTATAAAGGATCTGATATGCAAATGGCCCTAAAAGTATTTGGAAAATTAGGCCACACTTAAAAATACATGAAAGTCATTGCATTAGCAAAAGTATCAAACCAAGTGACATTTTGGCTTCACTTTACCAAAGTGATCATAGATTTGAATTTGAAACGTGGTGTTCATTTAAATTCAGGTCTTTTCATACTATGATTGTTAGTTTTAGTTTGTTTTATATTTAGTTTTAGTATTATTTGTTTTTTAGTATTTATATATTTCTTTAGTTTTAGTATTCTGAAGGAGAATTTTTGCATTTTGATGTTTAAAAACTTTGACATTTGTAGTCTTTGTTAGGGAAAAGTAATAATCATTAACCATATTTCTATCAATGTTTTATGCAAATTTTGGGATAATGCATACAAATATATATATTTTTAAATAAATTTAATGTTTTAAAATATTAAAAAACATGGAAGTTCCAAAATGCTAATTTTTGAATACAACATAAAAAAGATGGTTAAAAATACACGTCATTTCCAGAATGTGCATAAAAATTAGGTGAATGTTTTTTTTTTTTTAATAATGATAGTATAGTTTAATAGTATACTATAATAGTTTAGTATTTATTTTTATTATTATTATTTATATTATTTCATTTCTGTTTTCTTTTTCCCCTTTTTTACTTAAATTTAAAATTTTGTAGTTAACTAAACATGGATGTGTCTGTATGGATACCAGTAAGCATTAATAATGAAATCTCAGGGCCACACAGAAACATTCTGGCACAAACATCACAGCAATGAACAAACATAAAAGCAAAGAAAAACAGATCAGTTGGGGACACAACCATGAAAATTGTTCTTAACTAAAATAATCAGCTGGAATAAAAGTACTTGTCATGTAGAAAATCACCATTAATCAGAGCATTAGTGTAAACTTTGATGTTGGTGTGGCCATATTGTCACAGCAAAGTGCTGGCCAGTTCATTTCAGCATGCTTCCATATGGCTGGCTGCCACTTGGAGAGCTCCACGCGCTCACCCAGAGATACACACGCGTGCAAACACACTTAATCAGCATTTTATCATTTCTCAACCATCTAGTTGAACATAGACCAGCAGAACCACCACAATAGCTTGTTGGGCCATGCGTTTTTTAACAGATCGTGATATATGAGCACATTTTACTACAGAGCCCTGGAGAAATATTGAGACACAACAACAGCCTGGCTACATGCTTCTCTGGTTCCATGCAAATTGCACATGCTAATTATGATCTAATAACTGGCAGACTGTCCAGCATTATTACAGGAAGAGAAGGTTAAATTAATAGCTTATCATCTGCCCTAAGAATCAGTCATTTGTTTTTAACGATCATAATTCTTACATTAAATCTTCATTACCTGTCAAGATCTTAAGGGAAGCCTGCCAATTTGCTGCCTCAATGAGAATTAAAGCAAGTATTGCTCAAGCTAGAGTCTGTTTTTCAAACGAGGCTAACTTCGTTACCCGGGGCCACGGAGTAGCCTAACGGAGGCCGGACCCGAGACATCTGAATTCTTCAGCCTTGAGAGGATACGTACCTGGTCCCCTTGAATTAAGTGTGCTTTTTGGGAATTATTTGTTTTCAGGATGTAACTTTATAGCTACTGGCTGCATAGAAGAAATGCTAAGTGTGGTTGTTGCGTCCTCATGAATATTAGCATACAACATTTGTATTTAGAATATTAAAGGGGTCATATGATGCTGCTAAAAAGAACATTATGTTAGAACGAGCCGTTTTAGGTAGGCATGGCTGACTCTTAACTTTTATAAAGAATATCTCTTTGGATTTGAGACTTTAGTCTTTGCAACTTTACAGATCTTCTTTATGCACCAAGAGCTTGTAACAATCCAAAGAGAAAGAAAAAATTGAAATCGCATCATATGACCCCTTTAAAGTGGACTTTAATTTCCTTGGAGAGGGCTGTGAGACATATCTAATGGCCTAAAGCAGTGTTTTCTGTTTTGTTAGTGGGATATGGCCCAAAAATAGGTTGCAGGTCTGTTTTAAAGGCACACAGACAGTGCTAAATGCTAAAAATAAAATGCCGTTACCATATTATTGCAGTTACAGGGATGCGAAAACGCATATCTTTTGTTGTTGATGTCAAAAGCTGATGAGTGCGTATACTATTTTGACACAAATGTACGTTTTAATTTTACTAATGTGGCTGATACTAGCTATAATTCAGAAGTGCTAAGTGTGGTTATTGCATCCTCATGAATAGCCTATTAGCATACAACATTTGTGTCTAATATATTAAAGTGGACTTTAATTTCCTTGGAGAGTGGTGTGAGACGTATCTAGTGGCCCAAAGCAGTGTTTTTTTTTCACTGGTGTGTCATGGCCCAAAAATAGGTTGCAGGTGGTAAATACACAATGCTAAATGCTAATAATAAAATGCAGCTACAGTTACAGGAAGGCATATAGCCTATCTTTTGTTGTCGATGTCAAAAGCAGTGTCTATGCTATTTTGACACATTTTTTCACTCACTAATGTGGCTAATACTGGCTATATACAGAAATGCTAAGTGATGTTGAATATTAGCATCCAACATGTGTGTTTAGAATACTCACGTAGACATTTATTTTCTTGAAAATTGCTGTGAGACATATCTAGTGCCAAAAATTGTTGTTTTCTATGTTTTACTAGTGGGTCGTGGTCCAAAATAGGTTGCAGATTGGTTTTGAAAGAGCCATGAATTACAGGCAAATAGACGATGCTAAATGCTAATGATAAAATGCAATTATATTATCGCAGTTACCGGGAGGTGAAAAAGCATATAATTTGTTTTTGATGTCAAAAGCTGTGCATTATGTTATTTTGACACAAAGTGTGGTCACATTTATCGTAGTATGGCAAATTTTTGGGGTAAAATCCAGTCATTTCAATATTTAGCAATCGGGAATTTCGCATGAGAGCGAAAGATTCCTTCACAGAGATTTCATAACCTTAGTCAAAAAACAAAAAGTTGCTTGGTTTGAAAGTAAATTCTTTGTGAGCTGTGTGTCATACATTGCTACACTATTTAAAATATGATATTTTGTAAATTTGGCTATGATATTTTGTAAATTTGTCCATCTTGGGGGTTTTAAGTCATTTATGAATTTATGTCTGCTATTCATGAGTTTGCAGAATTGTCCTTTTTTAGTTTGTCATATTCATAATTTTGCATATTATTGGGTCATTGTCATTTTAATAAATTTTTGTTTGGTTTTAAGTACTTTTTTGTTTACTTTCATATGATAAACAGTTTTGGTACTGTAAAAGCCTTATTTGGTAAGATGGAGTTCTGTAATTGCGTTCGGTGCATCCCGGTGGAATCGCACTCAAAAACAAACATTTTTTTCCCTGCGAAAAATCTGGACCGTAAATGGGAAACAGTGCAAACAGCATCTTCTCGGGCTGAAATGTGGAGGATTTGGCTTGAGCTCCAGAACTGATGAAACCACAGGAGACACAACAGCTTTAAGGAAGTGAGGCAGATCTCTCTGTGCAGCATTCTGTTTGTTGTGGGTTGAGTTTTCGCAAACAGCTTCAGGCTAAAGATCGCTTAAGGACAAGAACGCTAGGTAGAGAGAGAAGTAAAGATAAAGAGTCTCAGCTCAGGGCCTGTCATGTAGAAAACAATATTGTGGCCTTACACTATACGTTTATTGAGGGGTGGGGGACAGCGTGACTGAGGAAAAATGGTCAAATAAATCAAAATCAATCAAATGTCCCATATAAATACGAGCAGTGCCAAGAGGTGACATCCCAGAGGCTGGAACAGAGCAAAGCGGGGTGATCCATGTGAAAGGACTGCCTGTGTGCTGGAGAGAAATATACGCTCTGTGTCAGCCACAACAGTCAGATCATTATGAGATTAATGATACTCTCTGTTAGAGCAGATACGGCATTATACCGTAATTGAGCATTTTCTGGGAAGTGCAGTATGGTCATTGCCATACAGCAGATATGGCTTTATAATGTAAGACAGTGTTTTCCTGGAAGTGCGGTATGGATTTGGCCATGTACCCATAAGCTTGTTTACTGCTGTTTCTTCTGTGATATTCAGATGGTGATGGGTTTTTGATGTTATTTAGACGACCTTATGAACTTTTTGAGTCTATCTGGTGCTTTGTCATGAAACAGCACTGCCATTGTCATGATTTTTAACAAAGTTAAGATGAGAATATTAAAAGTTGTGGTCTATGAAACTTTTTTGTTTTATTTATTCATTTATCTATTCATTTGATAAAATATTAAATAAAATAAATTAAGTACAAAAACAAATAAAAACAAATGCATTGTCTTCAATAAAATTATTTAACAAGTAATAATTTATATAAAATAGTTATTAATTATATTACTTGAATATAATAATTGTTTACAAACATTATTTAACAGATTTGTTATAGTTAGTTTATTTGGTCATGAATAGTAATGTTTATTTTTATTGCATAATTTCAAGTTAACAGTTTTTAAGTTTTTCGAAAAATTGAAACTTTCCTCAAAAATTTGGAAATTAATAACTGTTAAAAAATGTTTTTGTTTTAAATAGAAAAAAATGGGTAAATACTAAAATATATTATTTTAAACTTTCTACTTGTTTTAATTCTACTGTTACTTGTCATTTCTTTGCAATTATTTGTGCATTTTACAAGCAATTTCTGAGTGAAAATTGTTTCTATGCCAATTTTATTTTTAGTGTAGTCACAGCTAAAATGGATTAGGTAAACAGTTTTAAAAATGTAAGTTAATTGCATACAAAATTGCATGAAATTAAGATGTGACAG